CTTGCATCTCCAACCAGCACTGTTCGTCGATTTCTTTCTCACACTGCGTACTCCGCGGCGTGGGAACCTGACAATTCATTCGATCGTCTGGGCAGGGTCGCGCAGCCAGACAGGAACGTCTGGGCAATAGTGGCAAGAGGAATGGCTTCTCCTTCGCCAGCGGAGCTCTGTGCCACCGCGACCAGCGACGCAGCTCTTCTGCAGCTTTGAGGAGTCTCCTGAGCAGGAGGAGCAGACGGCTCGGGGCAAGCGGAACGATAGTCGCAAACAGGCGGAGAACAGCAGCGCCTGATTCTACATCTATATATATATACATATATTCCTATTATAATTATTTTCTTACCCGCCCCCCCCCCCTAAACCGGACCCCCCCCCCCGACGCCCTTGCGGACGTCTCGGCGGCCCCCTGGACGCCCTTGGAAGAGATCCGCTGGCCCTTCCGGGCCTCCTACAACCCTCACCAAAATTAATATCAAAAATGTCTTACGTGGCTGAACTGTTTGTGGGGAGATATTGGTCAGCGTTGCGGTGACTGCGAGGTACTTGTATGCGCCGCCCCTCCGATGTCGGTCATAATCGAACTTCTGAGTCGTTCCTGGTCAGACCCCCTGTGCCTTGGCCCCGACATTAGAGGGGCGTCTATCGACATTGAAGAGCGTACTGACATCGCAGGGGCGTGGTTGCCATTTTTGAGGTTACTTTTGACGATGGTAGTAGGGCGCTTTGCCGGGGCTTGCGAGCAGACTCAATTCGATCAAAGGAGCCATCGAAGATGCGCAAGAGAGACCCAAGTCAGCGCAAGAGCGCTCCAAGAGGAACCTCGATGGTCCGAAGACGGCCCAAGAGGCCCCCAAGACGCCCCAAGAGGCCGTTCAGAGAGCTCCGAGGAAGCAAGCATATCCGCTTTTTGGGTCCTCGCAGCGTCCAAGACGGCCCGATGGGCCCCCGATATCGCCCCAGAACGGCCCACAAGGCCCCTCAGAGGGTTTGAAGACGGCCCAAGAGGGCCCCAAGATTGCCCCAGAGAGCCCCGAGACTGCCCACAAGAAGCCCAAGATGCCCCCTGAAAGCTGCCAAGGGAGACCCACAAAAGCCATGGGAGGCCCATGCGACCAAGAAACTATTTGTTCGGCGCTACTGCGACTTCTTCGGCGTGTCATGGGAACGCTCCTTACTTTCTCAACGTGCAAGCGTATCGGGCGAACGCGGTGTCAGTAGGCACCAGGGGTATCAGAAAAATGAGCCAGTCGCCCGTCCAGGCCTCGAGCCCCCCCTTGCTGAAGCAAGCGATGATGTATTGCTTCGCCGGTGAAGCGTCCAGAACAAGGCGCATGGAGCGAAGCGCCAACGCAGTCTTGTGTGTATACATATGTATATATATATATATATGTATGTATGTATGTATGTGGATGTATGTATATAGAACGCATACATAAATTATCATACGCACCTCTCCGAGGGAGTAGAGCTCAGAGGCGATTAATGCGTACGCGGGCGTTCGCGATTTTTCTGGCCGCTTCGCTAGGGACATCTTCGAAATTCTGAAAACCAGTGGCACCTTTCGCGCAGATCGTGACGTCAGGGTCCAAAAACAAATGGGAACTTCAACCGTTTAACATAAAAAACCTTCAACAACACATTGTAATTTCAATAATTCCGACGCCGATTATCAGGGAATGGCGGTTTCGCCTGAAACATCCTCCCAAAATCGAGCCCCGACGTACCCTCTGGTACCCCAGACCCCGCCTCGGAGCCTCCTGGGGGCCTCCTGGGGCTTTCTGAACCTTCTGGTACCCCAGACCCCGCCTCGGAGCCTCCTGGGGGGTTCCTGGGGCCTCCTTGGGCCTCCTGCGGCCTCCTGGAGCCTCTTGGGGCTTCCTGAAGCCTCCTGGGGTCTCCTGGGGTCTCCTGGGGCCTCCTGAGGCCGCCTGGGGCCTCCTGGGGCTTCAAAATTACATGCACACACAGAGACACATATCACGCCCAACACATCACACGCTAGACAAACATAACACACACACACACACACACACACACACACACACAACACCTACAACGCACAAGAAGCACGCACAACACAGAGCACACATCACACACACACACACACACACACATACACACACACACACACACACACACACACACACACACACACTACACCCACAATCCTGGGGCCTGGAGCCTCTTCTGGTATCCAAGTCGGGCCTCCTGAGACTTCCTGGGGGGCCCTGGTACACAGATCGCAAGGTGTGGCAACCCCACTTGCGCTCCAGTGCGACTTCGCTGTTGCATTTCACTCCTGCTTCAAACGCCCCTTCAGTTTTTTCGTATGAGCCTGGGCACACACGTGCCACTTGTTCCTCTTCCTATATTTTTACAAGCCCGGGCGGGGGGGACCCCCCCCCACCCACCCACCCACCCCAACACCAGACCCCTGGGATCTGGGGGTTTGGAACCCTCCGCACGGGCCTCGAAGCGGCCCCCTGGACCTCGCAGGGCGTTTTGCCAAGTTTTCGCAGCACACCTAGGGCGATCAGGCGGGTCATCGGAGACGTCCCAGAGACCCCCAAGACAGCACAAGAGCGCTCCAAGAAGCCGTCATACCCCGAAAGATCGCTCCAAAACGTACCAAGAGGCCTCCAAGAGCACCCCAATGAAGGCCCCAAGAGGGACTAATCATTTATTTTATTTGGGTGTTTGGTGAATGTTGGGGTTCTCCTCTTTTCGGCTTCCCGACGCTCCAAGACGGCGGTTTTCTGGGCGTCCGAAGCCGCCTGGGAGGCTCCAACATCGCCCCACAACCATCCGAAAGGGCTTCCAGGCAGTCCAAGAGAGCCCCAAAACGGCACAGCAGGGGTCCAAGATGGCCTTAAGAGAGCCCCACGGCCCCAAGACGCCCTCCGAAGCATTCCAAATCGTGACCGGGGCGTTCAGGGAGACGGCGGTTAGAGGCAGGTTGGCCATACGAAGCCCCAGAGGCCCCCAGAACACGCCCAAGAGGCCTCCAGAAGGCTTTCAGAAAGCCTGAGAACTTTGGTGAGGCCCCCAGGGGCTCTCCAAGGAGGAGCCTCCGCATAACGAGCTGAGGAGGATGGGGAGAATGCCCAGGGTATGGCGAACATGAGGAAAAATAAGCATGGAGGAAGGACAACGAACAATATTATTATAAAGGCGATGCCATAAAAGGCAGCAAGGAGTTATCGCTAAATTGTTGGCTTGACCTTCCTGCCATTTCCGCCTGCATACCAAACTTCAAGGACCAAGGTGCACGGCGCGAAGCGCCACTGCTGTCTTGTGCATGTATGTATGTGTGTATATATATATATATATATATATATATATATATATATGTATTCCTCTTCCTATATTTTCATATGCACGGCGGGGGGGAAAACCCGTCACCCCCCCCCAAAAAAAAGCCGCACTCCCGGGACCTGGGGCTTTGGAACCCTCCGGACGAGCCTCGAAGCGGCCCCCCGGGCCTCGCAGGGCGTTTTGACAAGCCTTCGCAGCAAGCACCCTGGGGCGATCAGGGGGGTCATCGGAGACGTCCCAAAGACCCCCAAGACAGCACAAGAGCGCTCCAAGAGTGACCGACGTGACCTCAAGATGGCCCAAGAGGCCTCCGGGACGGCCCCAAAGAGGCCTCCAAAAGCACTCCCAAGAAGGCCCCAAGAGGCAGAAATCCTTAATTTTCTGTTGGTTTTTGGTGAATGTTGGGGTTCTCCTCTTTTCGGCTTCCCGACGCTCCAAGACGGCGGTTTTCTGGGCGTCCGAAGCCGCTTGGGAGGCTCCAAAATCGCCACACAACCATCCGAAAGGGCTTCCAGGCTTTCCAAGAGAGCCCCAAAACGGCACAACACGGGTCCAAGATGGCCCTCAGAGAGCCCCATGGCGGCCCAAGATGGCCCTAAGACACCCTCCGAAGCATTCCAAATCGTGACCCGGTCGTTCAGGGAGACCGCGATTGGAGGCAGGGTGGCCCGAGGAAGCCCCCAGAGGCCCACAGAATACACCCAGGAGGCCTCCTGAAAACATTAAGAAAGTTTGAAACAACTTTTGTGAGGCCCCCAGAGGCTCTCCAATGAGGAGCCTCCGCAATAAAGAGCTGAGGAGGATGGGGAGAATGCCCAGGGTATGGCGAACATGAGAGAAAAAATCATGGAGGAAGGATAACCAATCACATTATTATAGCGGCGATGCCGGAAAAGGCAACAAGGAGTTGTCGCTAGATTGTCCGCTTGACCTTCCTGCCATTTCCGCCTGCATACCACACTTCAAGGACCAAGGTGCATGGCGCGAAGCGCCACTGCAGTCTTGTATATATATATATATATATATATATATCCGTGGTGAACGTTGGCAGATGATGTTGTCAATCTCCGTCGCGTCTAGCACTACGGTTGGTTGAGACCTGATGTCTGTCAACCAGAAGCCAGCACAGATGTAAAGCGGAACCTTCTTCAGAGGTGAGCCAGGACCGCGATTTTGCATGTGTTAAATTTCAGGGACAACCACATCGCTCCACCAGCGCATGCAATGGCAGGATTGGGAGCTGCGCCGCCTTCATGCGCTGATGTTGCGAGATGGTACGCTTCGGGTGGGGATGAACAGGGTGTTGTGGCGTTGTGACTTACAAGTTCTTCAGTACGCTAGTTGCTAGTCGGTTCGCGGGAGAGATTTGGCAACCTTGCCAATACAGAATTATGCCCGTATATGCTAAAAGAGTTTGGGGCCACTTGTTCCGTCCTCTCTAACACTTTTTTGTTCTCTCCTCACTGTTCGGATTACAGGGTGGCGGTGCAGACGGTTGTAAATATTGCCCCCCTCATCTCTTTTATATCAAGCATGTCCCGGGTGCGTTGCCGCCAAAGTGTCGAGGGGAACCCAGCTGTGGCGATGAGAAGCCTCCCCGAGGCCCCAGCTGACGGCCAGAAGCCTCGACCCTCCGAACCTCGACCCTTCTCCCCTCCCATGCTGAGCCCCGCGCGCCGGGCCAGGGCGCCGCCGACCGCCCGCCGGCGCCGCTGCTGCAGGACGGCGCGGTGGCGGAGGCTTTGCAGGCGCCGGTCCCGTTGTCGCAGGGGCTCTCGGAGAGGGCGGTGGCGGTTCCCCTTCGGCCAGGGGGGGGTAGGGCCGGGCTGGACGAGGGGGGGGAGACGGAGCCAGCTGGGGGTTTGCGGTGGCCCACCACTGGTTCCGGCCAGCACGAAGGGAGGGGAGGTTCGAGGTTTTGGGTTCGAGAGAGTTTTTGTTGCCTCGCTAGGCCTTCGGACCCCAGGAGGGGTCTGGGAACCGACTTTGAGCGGATTTCAGACAAGGCTAGGACGAGGATAAATCCGCTCCACAGCGTTACGTCACGTTTTCAAAGCGTTTCGGAACGCTCTGCGAAGGCCGCGGCACCGTAGACATCCTCCAGAGCCGACAGATCTCAGAGATTCTCGATTTACCCGTACCCGATGTTATCCTCGTCTTAGCTTCATCTTGGGATTTACCTTTCGTCCCCCCCTTTTGACAGATTTTCTCTGGGCCCACCCAGCTCAGACCCCCTGGCCGCCTCAAAGGGGAAGGATTGGGAAAGGCGGGCATTGAGAGAACGACGACCACCCAAGCACGACAGTTGAGAGATGGAAGTGTTCACCAAAGTGCGTTTTGCTAACGGGGTGTCTTGTCGATCCTCGAGAGAGGGTGGGGTGTGCGAAGTCTGCTGAGTGAGGGAGAACGATTCGGAGGAGGAGGAGGAGGAGGATTATATGTTCATGCTGGATTATGCGACTCTGTTCAAACGCCTGATTAAAGACTCAAGCATAGACCATAGACGGCGCGCCTGCTGCAACATGTATTTCTACACGGAGGCAAGTGCGTGGCAGCAAGAAAACATACACGAGACAAGATATGCGGCACCTCTGCTGCGACAGCTGTGTGAGAACACGAGTGCACAGTGCGAGTTGTAATTATCTGTCCCCATCCTCGACATTCGGCGGCTTGGCCAGTCACGAAAGACAGGTGCAGTGCGCGCGCAGGTTGCCAAGAAAACATAGCCCACCCAATTAAATACTCGACAAATGTGCGATGACAGGTCAACTCATGACCCACGTGCTGCAGCAATGAATTCCAAGAAACGACTGGACGGCATCGAGTGGTGATCGCACCCATTCACACGTTGAGGAAACCAACCAACCACATAAATTTTGATTTGGACGATACTGCAATGGAAGGTTGAAGTATAGAAGCGTATACAAACATGCAAACCTACCACCACGTTGAATTGAAACGTAGGGCGTGAAGGACAGCGGCATGTGCTTTACTTGCCCCGCGGGGCTTGGGCCAGGCTTGCCAACAACGCCACCTCTTGACGTGCATGCTGCCGTCGACCCTGTAGTCGAGTTCCGCGCCTGCACCGCCTTGGTCTTCCAGGGTCCTCGCATCCTTCCCCCGGTGGTGGCACCGCTGTTACTTGCGACCTCGTCGGCGTGATATCGCTGACTGACACCCTCCGCATATCAGCAATTGCGGGTTCACTCTCAGCGGGGCGCCGCCTGCCCCCGCCTTCGGCACTGCACAGTTCGGGCCCCTCGCGAAGCCACGGTACGGGCCAACCCCGGCTCCAGCTACCACCCATGGGATGGTGCTTGCCTGGCTTCGCTGTGGTTCGGGACGTCAGTCCATCTCGTAGTTTGACGGCCGATTTCGGGGTGGCCAGCCGGACGCGCACCTCCCGCCCACCCGAAGTGAAATGGTTGAGGAGAAGGAGCAGGAGGAGGTGGAGGCGGGTGGAAATTAGTTTGATCTTTTACCGTCGTCCGCATTGACATCCAATTCTCCGCGGTCGAATTATTTTCGCAGCGGCATCGGGCCTCCCCTCCGCACTTTCCAGGGCGGTAGAGTGGATGCTTCGACATTCGCTTGCCCCAAACATGGGGCTCTGGCGAGACCTGGGCTCGGACTTATTCGGTTCGGGGGGGGGACGCCCATGTGGATACGGCGCCGCCCGCGTGCGCCCCCGCCACTCATGTCGGCACGCCCTTCACACGCTTCGTGGCCGCGCGGGGAGCCCCACCCAAGGCCCACGGCGCGCCGCCCGCATGCGTCCCCGCCCCTCATATCGGCACACTCATCGCACGTTTCGCGGCCGCACAAGGAGCTCCATCCAAGGCCCAAGCGGTGCCGTCCGCATGCGTCCCGCCACCCATGTCGGCACCCCCCTCACATGCTTCGCGGCCCCATAGGGAACCCCACCCAAGACCCCACGCGGCGCCGCCCGCATGCGTCCCCACGACCGATTTCGGCACGTCCCTCGCACGTTTCGCGGCCCCACAGGGAATCCCACCGAAGGCCCAATTGGCGCCGTTCGCACGCGCCCCCGCCAATAATCCCAGCACGCCCTTCACGCGCTTCGTGACCCGATAGGGAGCTCCACCCGAGGGCCCCATGTCGCCGCCCGCATGCGCTCCCTCCGCCCATGTCGACACGCCCCTCGCATGTTTCGCGGCCTCAGGCAGCTCCGCCCAGGGCGCGAATGGCGCCGTTCGCATGCGCCCCCGCATTTCATTCTGGCGCACCCCGCCGCCCAGTACGGCACACTCAATAAAGGTTGAGTTTCTCCGTGGGGAGATCCGCCAGAGGCTCCAGCGGCGACGCGCGCGCGCGCGTTTCCCGGCCCATTTCGGAGCGCCCCCGCGCGGTCCATGGCAACGCAGGGAGCCCGCCCAAGTATCCAGCGCCACCTTTCGCACGCGCCCCCCCGCCCGCCCCCTCGCGCGCGCACCGCGGCTCCGCGGGCAGCTTCACCGAAGGCCCCGTGAGGAGATCATCTGAAGGCGATGTTCACAACGGTGGCATTCACAACTTCATCTTGCTGGGTCCTTCGCCAGGCCAGTTGTTTTCTCGGGGCCCCGTGCCCCGCGCCACATGGGGCATGCGTGCCCCGTGCCCTGCTCACCATGGGGCATGCCCCATGCCCCATGGGGCGCGCGCCATGCCCACTGGCTCGCCCCACGCCACAAGGGGACTGCCCGCCACCGCCCCGCGCGACACGCGCGCGCGCGCCCCAGGGCACCTGCCTCGCGCGCAGGGCGCGCCCCAGATCCCATCCCACGCGTGACATGCCTCGCGCCCAACGCGGCACCCCATGCCCCATCATGGGCCATGCCTCCACAGGGCCTGCCCCGTAGACCACGCGCCGCGTTCATCGGGCATGGCGCATGATCCACGGACCAGGAGGTGGAGGAGGAAGAGGAAAGGGGGGCGGAAAGGAGACGGAGAGGAGCGAGGATGGAGGAGGGAGAGGAGCGAGCGGAGGGGGGGCGGGCGGGTGGGTGAAGGAGGATGGGGGGAGCCAAGCCCCCTCCTCGCGCCCCTTCTCCGCCCCCAGGGCGACGGGGCGAGGGGGGGGGGGGGGGGCGGCGGGGCGGGGCGAAGCGGGGCGCCCCCCTCCCCACCCCCCTCGCTTGGGCGGTTGATGGACAGTTCCCAGGTGGCCCGCCCGCGCGCGAGTCGCTGGCGCGGCGCGCGCCCCGCGCAGAAAACGCGTCGACTGAGAATGCGTCGCCTCGCGTCGAGGCCCAGATTGCAAGTGAAACATTTATTGTTCCCAAATAGTTGCGGGGTGACCCACCCGCGCGTCGGTCGCCTGCGCCGCGCGCGCGGAACGCGGCGCGCGCATTGAATTGGAACCCATCGCCACGTACAACGGCCCGGAGTGCAAGTGAAACGCGCGACTTCTCTCGACCCGCTTCCGGGCGGCTTCGACGCGCGCGAGTCACTCGTGCGCCGCGCGCAGGGGGCGGCGCGCACATTGCCTTGGGAAATGATCCGCCAGCATCCAGGCGGTGACCCGCCAGCGCGCGGGTCGCCGGCGCGGCGCGCGCGCCGCGCGGGAAACGCGTTGCCTAGATATGCCTCGCCTCATTTGGAGGCCCAGAATGCATGTGCAACACTTGGCTTTCCCAGCAGTTGTCGGGCGACCCTCCGGCGCGCGGTCATTTGCGCCGCGCGCGCGGAATGCGGGAGACGCGTCGACTGGGAATAGGTCGCCGCAGGTAGACGCCCAGACTGCAAGTGAAACGGCTGTTTTTTTTATACCAGCCTCCGGGCGACCCCCTCGCGCGAGGGTCACTCGCGCGGCGCGCGAGCGCCGTTCGGCGCGCGGGGAAGCGCGCTTCTTGGGGGTGCGTCGCCACATGCAGATGCCCAGAGTGCAAGAGAAACACATCATTTCTCCCCGCCAGTTTCCGGGCGGCCTGCAGCGCGCGAGCAACTGGCGCGACGCGCGCGGAAGTCGGGAAACGCAGCGCACGGGGAATGCGCAATTTCATGTAGGGCCCCTGCCTCGCGCGCAAGCCATGCCCCAGATCCCATGCCCCATCGTGGGCCATGCCTCCACGGGGCCTGCCCCGTAGACCGCGCGCCACGCCCACTGGGCACGACGCGCGGTCCATGGAGCAGGAGGCGGAAGAGGAAGAAGAACGGGGGGCGGAAAGGAGACGGAGAGGAGCGAGGAAGGAGGTGGGAGAGGAGCGAGCGAAGGGGGGGCGGGGGGTTGGGGGAAGGAGGGATCACTATCGAGCATTCAGGGACGGCGCGACGGGGGGAGCCAAGCCCCCTCCTCGCGCCCCTTCTCCGCCCCCAGGGCGACGGGGCGAGGGGGGAGGGGGCGGGGCGGGGCGCCCCCCCCCTCCCCCCCTCGCTTGGGCAGTTGATGGACGGTTCCCAGGTGACCCACGCGCGCGCGAGTCGCTGGCGCGGCGCGCGCCCCGCGCAGAAAACGGTTCGACTGGGAATGCGTCGCCTCACGTCGAGGCCCAGACTGCAAGTGAAACACTTATTGTTCCCAAACAGTTGACGGGTGACCCGCCCGCGCGTCGGTCGTTTGCCCCGCGCGCGCGGAACGCGGTGCGCGCATTGAATTTCAACCCATCACCGCGCGCAACGGCCCGGAGTGCAAGTGAAACGCGCGATTTCTCTCGACCCGCTTCCGGGCGGCTTCGACGCGCGCGAGTCACTCGCGCACCGCGCGCGGGAGACGGGAAGCACATTGAATTGGGAAATGCGTCGCCAGTAT